GCATAATGGGTTGACTAAATCGCAGTCGGGCAGAGTCTCTGGATTCAATTTCTTAATCTCTACTATCTTCCCCGTCTTCCGGTACCAACCCATATTTATATGGTCGGTAGTCCGCTTATGTAAATTAGGTGTATCATACACAACATATCCTATTGTCTATATTTATCATAAACGATAATCATATACCATATGAGATAACGATTATCATATTACCCATATTATCATATCATATTACCCATATTATCATCAATGTGTATCCATATAAACAGAGGAATGGAGGTGAAAGAAAGACATCCACGGGATTGTTGTTTATACCGCTATTAACCTCTAACTGGTAAGGCGCGGAAAAGAGACGGATTCTTACCTTTTCCAAGATTATTTGTGCAAAAGCGAACGCAGCTGTCTCGCTGCACGTGTCCCGTGTCGATAACCATTACGTTATACGCACACACAAAGAAGCAAGAATAAACTGAGGTTTAAAAGCTAGGAAAGGACATGAAAAAATATTATATGTTAATATTCTTTTTGGTCGTGTTTTAGTTTTTGTGTTTGTATAGAATTTGAATACAAATCAAGGACAAATAACGGGAAGGCAAGAGTGGCAACGATACCCTTCACCTGTGCGTCGAATATTACTGCCATATCTGGACTGGTGCTTTTGTTTTATATCTAGGGATTCTTGACGAAATCCAAATAAGAATATGCAGCGTTATCGATCCTGACCTGGCATCTCGGCTCCAGTCACTTTCCCACCGCCGTAACGTAACTTCTCTTTGCCTCGTGTATAAATATTTTTGTTCTGATGAGCTTTCCTCTTTGGTGCCTCGACGTCACAAATTTAAGTGCAGTACTAGATTGGCAGCTAGGTCTCATCATTTCACTGTTGAAACTGTTAGTTGTAACCGTAAGTTCTATGCTAATAGTTTCTTCTCTCACAGTATTTTTTCTTCTGGATTTCCTGTCAACTAAGATCTTCAAAAATTGAAATGCAATGTCAATCATCCTTTTCTGTCGTCTTGAACCCTGTTCTTTTATTTTTCTCTTTGTTTCTTTCAATCTCAGTAACCCCTTGAATATTAGTGGCTTTTATCGGAATTCTTGGGATGACAATAATGCAGAGGATGTGAAGATACAGTCAAATGGCGAGAGAAGAGGGGGGGCGGGGCATGAGATAATCAGGTTTTGGATAAAAGTAGCACATAACTTTGCAGGCGACGCCCAGTTAGAAATATCTTCAGGTCAGTTATCCCAATCCGCTCAGTGTCCGATTGAGGGTGACCCCAAGATGTGACTTCAGAGTCATCTTGACCATCTTATCTTTAATACTTAAAGAAAACAAGTATTTCAACAGTCGTAGCATCACCACTACTCCCACTCATGATAACCTCAGATGTGTCAGCCCCAAGAGGACACGCCCAACTGGTAAACGTGAAACAGCTGACAAGCAAATCTGTGTAACTGAACAGGATATTTACTCTAGCTCCTCTTAATTCATTCCGATGGATCATGTACACGTTAACATCTTGAATCAATTAAGACCCGGAGACATGACAGCCAGGCCTGGTGCAGCATCAGGGCTGTTGGAGGATATTATTATTATTATTATTATTATTATTATTATTATTATATTATATTAATAATGATAATAATAATGATAATAATTTTTAATAATAATAATAATAATTGCTTTTTAATAATAATTTTAATTGTAATAATTTTAATTAATTAATTTTATTAATTAAATTAAATTAATTTATTTTAATAACAACTGATTTTTAATAATAATTCGATTTTAAATAATAATAATAATAATTGCTTTTATTAAATTTTTAATAATAATAATAATAAAAATAAAAATGCTTGACTTTTAATCTAATATCTTTCTATTTTCAAATTTCGAGTTATTATTATTATTGTTAATAGTACTATATAATGTTAGAATTATTGTTAATACTAGTAACACGTCTGATTTCACATAAACTAGACAACTTAAAGAAGTATTGACTGATTCATTTTTTATACGACCTTTTGCTTGTTATTAAAGCTGGAACCTATCTTTGTATTGTAATACTGTTTTCGAGATAATAATGATTTTACGATACAAATTTTACTATTTAACCCATAGCTTGGGAGAGAAGAATTGGATTCATAACTCTCCCAAGGGTATTTGAGCGTAAGTGACTAAAACAAACCCGACTGGAATTTGAACTCGGCTCTCCGATTTCTAATTCATTACACCACTCTCAATGTATACTGTGAGGATGGTGTAATGACATATCGAAGTGGTCATCCATCTAGCTACTGACCAGGCTCGACGTTGCTTAACTTCAGTGATTTGGCGGAAAGCGGTGTTTCAACGAAATGTGGCTGTAAGCTGATAACTTGAAGACAGACATACTCTCGAAATATTGTTAAGCATTGTGCTTCTTTTTTATATTATTATTATTATTATTATTATTATTATTATTATTATTTGCTTTGATTTTTGATGAGTACTCATTTCTTTCCAGGTCCCGATCAGAGACTTAAGGTCAGAAATGGCATCATGACATTTTTCACTCAGCAGTTTAAAAAAAATCACACATATTTTATATAGATAAAGCTCTTCATAATGTGTGAGCTGTACTTGTGACTACAGTTTTTTGTATTTCTTTAAGGCATGGGCCGCCAGGAATCCCTTCAATGTGTCTATTGGAATCTTTTACAATCAATCCAAGGGCTCCAAGTACAATTGGAATTGTTAATGTCCTCATATTAGGTTTTTGAGATTTCGATTTCAAGATCCTTGTATTTTGATAGTTTTTGAAGACCTTTGAAAGATACACTGCAGACTGTAGGGACTGCCATATCAATAAAGAGGCACATACTGTCTTTGCGGTATAATCACGATAACAGGGTGATTAGTCTTGATTGTTCTGTGTGTGTGCGTGTATTGTACAGTCCCATAAAATTGTTACAGTTTCTATCTCTGTAACCGGGTGTAGATGGTGTTCATACCAATTTCCCACAGTTATTATTATTATTATTATCATCATTCATTCATTCATTCATTCATTCATATGCATATTTAGACAAGGTGTCTGGGGTTTATCGCTTGGCAGTGGTTGCAAGTCTCTTCAAACTTCATGTTCCATTCTCAGTATTCCTGCCATTTTCAGAAGTGCATTTGTTTGAATGACTGCATTAGTGGGGCAGAATGATAGAGGTGGGTGTCGTGCTCACAACACTTGCAAATTGGTGCGCGTGTTGATCATACTAACCATCGGGTTAGGGTAGCCGATCACAAGTCTTTATTTAAAGTGTGAAATAGACAAATGGGAAACCACTTCATTATATTTCCCAAGAACAATGACAGCAATGAATAGTTTACAAATATTAAAGAAAATGAAGCCGTGGAGAATCATGATCGCGTATTACCTGACGGTACACGGCATTGAAAGAAAAAATACCTATTATAATCCAGCTTGTGCCTTAGTTAGCACATACGTTATGTCCTGACATTACCTCAGATAAACAATGGACCACTACTATTTGATTAGGTGGACAGATGAAAGAAACATTTCATGAAACAGGCTGTGTTTGGTTTTAGAGAGAGAGAAAGAGAGAAAAAAAAGAGAAGATAGAGGAGACGATAATATTGTCATGTTTTTAACGTCTACTTCAGTGAAATAGAAAAACTTGTCAATTTTGAATTTTTTCTATTTGTACCCCCTTACTTCTTTAAATAACGACGTAAATTCCTACTTATGATTGTTATTGTGATGTTGTTAAGATCAAATATTTTACGAGGCAACAGTGGAATTTCCACGGATATTTTATAGTCGTGAAACTCACAAGGAACTTATTTAATCATTAACTTAAGAATTTAGATTTTAGATTAATCAGAAAAACCGCCAAAATTTTCAATGGTATTTCTTGTTATATAACCATTATTCATTTTCTTCGATATCAATATTGTTAATGTTGATATTATCCTCATATTTGTCTTTATGTTATTATAAAGATCGATCTCATAATATCTTTCTTCTTCTTCTTCTTCTTCTTCTTCTTATTATTATTATTATTATTGTCAGTTTATGTTTATTTTTGATATAGAGATTCTACTGACAGACAGTAAATTCCTTATTACATTTGCGTGTTATTTTTTTGCTTCGTTTGCTAGTTGTTGATTAATCCGCCTTGCCTGGTTATCTCCCCCTGTCTGTTTTTTTTTTTTTTTTTTCTAAATGCCTTTTTACCTCTTCGGGGTCTCCAACAAACCTCTCCGTCATGATCTGTCCTTTACCTCCGACTGACAAACTTTTCCTTGCTTTTCACTCCCTTCACTCATTGCTATAATATGTAATTGAGAGAGGGAAAGGATTTCCAGACCCCCTTCTGAGGAAGAAAAAAAAATGAAAAAAAAAAAAAAAGAAAAAGAAAGAAAGCAATGATAACAAAAGTAAGAAAACCAAAGCAAACAAAAAACAATAGAATGTATCAAAAAGCAGCCGAGGTCGTTATTTGATTCGGAGCGATCTGCAGCTAAACCCCCACCCAACCCAACGACCACCACCCAACAACACCCCACCCAACGACCCTTTTAATGTTATCTGTCTATTTATTGTTCTTCTTGTTATTATTTCTTTTCTGTCTTTGTTTATTTATCGATTTGAGCGCGCAGCAGGGAGAAGGCAGATTATTTCCCTCATTGAATTTGCATTTTTGCAAAAGTTTATTTGTTTTTTGGGGGTTTTTTTTAACCTTTTTTTAACAAATGACTTTTTTCTTTTTCATCCTCAATTTTTTTTTCATCTGTAGAATGACTTAATTTCCTTTACCTTGTAAATAATTTTAACATCTTTCAAAGCCAAAGGCACTATTTTCTTTCGTTCTTTCTTTCTTTCTTTCTTTCTTTCTTTCTTTCTTTCTGGTTTTCTTTTTTCTTGTAACCTGTTTCGTTTACCTTTGTTGGTTTGGCTTTTTTTGTATCTTTTTTCTTTTTTATTTCTTTTAACTAGATTTTTTTTGTTTTTTCTTCTTTGTGCTTCTTTCTTTCCTGTATCTTGGCTATTTCTTTCTTTCTTTCTTTCTTTCTTTCTTTCTTTCTTTCTTTCTTTCTTTCTTGATGCCCTTTCTTTCATTTTCTTTCGGTCTTTCTTTTGGCCTTTCTTTCTTTTAACATTATTTCTTTCTTACACCATTTTCTTTGTTTCTTTCATTTGTCCTTTTTTTCTTTCTTTCTTTCTTTCTTTCTTTAGGTGTTTCTTTTTGTTTTTCTTTCTTTCGGCATTTATTAAGGACTTTCTTTCTTTCTTTCATTTGTTCTTTCTTTCTTTCTTTCTTTCTTTTGGCGTTTCGTTTGGTTTTTCTTTCTTTCGGCTTTTATTACGGACTTTCTTTCTTTCTTTCTTTATTACGGCCTTTTTCTCTCTCATTCACACCCTTTATTTGAAAGAGTTCTTTACCATTCTATCATCTTAGACCAAATATCCACCTTAAACTCAGCGGCAGAAAACGCGCAATCGAAACGGCCGTGCAAACTACTTCTGGTGGGGGTCTCCTTCCTGCGTGTACTATGAGCGAATGTGAAAGTTTAAGAGGGTGGGTAGCAAAGGCATTCCTTCCTCTTTCTCCCTCAGCAGCACCGATACCATTGACCGACACAGTCGGTGCGTGTAATTTCCCCGTACACAGGCACTGACATGAAATTTGATTGTTTAATTAACTTCCCGATGGCCATCCCCACACAAAACATTCACCACATCTTCTGCTTTTGCGGGGGTCAAATTGGGTGACATTGGCAGTGGACCGAGAGGAAGTTTATGAGAAACTGTGGGTAGTGGTTAGGGGCGATAGAAAAGATGGGTAGGAAGAGGTTGCTATCAATAGATATGAAAATACAGGGGGGAAAAAAGAAAGAAAGAGATTCCAAATATGGAAAGTTTGTTTAATTTTAAAATCAGTATTAAACATTCAAATTGCCCATAGGTTCATTGTCCACTTACAGGTTACTACTCTGAAAGCCCCAGTTAAAGGGACTCAAACAATGCGCAGTTACTCCAGGTAGATTATTACAATCGTCCACGACTCTGTTGGAAAATAATTTATTTCTGATATCTTAAATCATATATATATATATATATATATATATATATATATATATATATATATATATATATATGTGTATTTAGGCAGCGTTTTTCATTGATGCATGTTTCATTAAAAAATATAGACAAGTTTTGTCTATTTATTTTATCGAAATTCTTTTCATATCGTCTAATAAGATTAATAACATTATCATTAAAAGACAAAAGAAATTTACCATATTGATAAATATTCTTTAATCCTAAAGCATTCGGCTTACACAAACTATTATCAAAGATGACAATTACATTACAATATATTAACCAACGTTTATACCAACGGCTTCCCATACTTAATACTTCTCGTTTTCACTCTTGCGTGGTCATGCGTCACGATATACGCTTCCGTGTCTCGTATGCACGAGTTTGTCGTTGCTTGGAAATCTTCCATGTAAACATAAACAGACTATCATCACTGTTTTGTCCGTGTATTGCTTAATATATTGTAATGTAATTGTAATCTTTGATAGTGGCTTATGTAAGCCGAAAGCTTACATAGGATTAAAAAATATGTATCAATATTGTGATTTTCTTTCATCTTTTAATGATAATATTATTAAGCTTATCAGACGATATGAAAAGAATTTACATAAAATAAATAGACAAACCTTGTCTATATTATTTAATGAAACATGCATCAATATATATATATATATATATATATATATATATATATATATATATATATATATATTCACTAAATAAAATCCTGTCAAAAGGTTGTTTTTAATAAATATTCGTTACAATGGCAAATACTGACAAAATACTTGCGGATGTATTTGTAGAACTACCGAATGTCATTTTTGGACTGTTTAGAAAATAACAATAATAACTCTCTTCACCAGTCCCGCAAACTCGAAAAAAAATTTTCGCGAGTGAGTGTTAAACTATTTTCTAACAAATGAAAAGCGTGTATTCAAAAAGTTCATACCTCAATGTGAAATTAGATTTTGAATCCACTTACGGATATAAAAATAGAAGCATAATGTTTCTTGAGGCTCAAAACAGTTTCAGAGGCCAGTTTGATCTACACATGCACACACACACACATGTAACCACGTTCACGCACACAGTAGCAGGGATGAGGTAGCAACCACCGACTAACGCCTTGTCTACTTACACAATACAAGAGATCAGCCAGCAATCGCCCACTAAGCCTTTGTCTACGAACTCACAAATACATTAGGTTGGCCGTCATAAAGTAAGTCTGTTCACACATTTATAAAAGAAACTTCACATCAAGAAAAATTGAACATTTTATTTCTGTTGTATATTTATGAGAAGAATATATGTTATTTCAACTGACGTTCTGCTTCTACTTTTCCTTCGGGAAATAGCCTTTTTCCTTCCATTTAAAAGATGTGTTATTCTTGTTGTTGTTGTTAAATGTTTGGAATCACGCCACCAAGATAGCAAGCAAAAACCTGTGTAGATGGATACAAACAATTTTTTCTGGAAACATCTCTTTTGCTGTTTCTTCAAATATCTTTGAAGTTGATGTTGGGCACTCTGGTGAAATACTTTTTAAATGGAGTAACGTAGCTTTCTGGTAAATATTTGAACGTTTCCTTCATATATATTTGTTTCCTTCTTTTTAGCTAACTTTGGTAAAATAAACTCGGAAGAATCAAATATAAAAAAATCTCTGAACTCATTTCAATTTACTGATGTCATTTTTCTATGAAATGGACTCTAATCAATAGCACTATATTTAAACAAACTACGCATAGTTACGTGTAGAGCTTTTGAATTTTTCTGGGAGTAAAATTTGTGAAACATCGCTTTATCAGACCAACATTTTGCTTTGCCTCCATACAAATTCCAATGATGTCTTTAAATAGTCAGAGGATGTCGACACTTGAATTTCAAGATCTTGTAGCGAACAAGTTGTACAGGTAGTAATGGATGAGTTTGATGCTGGTCACCATTTGGTAACAGGAAGGATCATTACTAGTTACAGATGATTAGAATAGAAACATTTAAATTAAATGAATTCAACATTCTCAAAACAGCTCAGCATGTGGACTGAATAAATTACCATAAATAGTTAATTCCGAATTTAGTTTTGAATAATTCCTGAAATTTTTAGAGATTTCGATCTATTATATTTATAATTATAAATTTTTCTAAAAATTGGTGCAGTACAAAATCATTACCCCGTTCCCCTTATGAAAATTATGAAATAATTTTTATGGCAATTGTAATATTATTTTTTGGTAATTTGACATGCATTACAAACAACCTTTGAAAAGGAAATAGTATTGACCTGATTCTATAATATTCTAAAAGGTAATGAAGAAGAAAATATGTGAGTGCCACGTACCATGATAATTCAATCCTTCTACAACCATGGTGAAGACGGCTGAACTTGACAAAAAACTCCGAATGATGATAGTTGATGCGTACAAATAAGGTGATGGATACACAACACTTTTACAAGCATTTAAATATTCCAAGATCGACAATTCTTAGCATTATCAAGAATTACAACGAGACTCATTGTGTTGAGAATAAATTAAGAACTGATAGTAAATGGTTAATTTCTGAGAGATTGGAAAGGAAAATTGTTAGAAATGTCTTGAAGAATCCTCACTTGACGACAAAGGACATTTTCAGTGATATAAAGACATCAGGGTCGAATGTATAGACGAAAACATTAACTAAATGCTTTCATCGAGCGGGACTTCGAGATTATCGCCCAAGGAAAAATCCCTTGCTTATGGCTAAACACCTAAAATGCACATTTGCTTATACTAGAAGCCATCTAAAAATATTAGAACCCTTTTTTGTGGTCAGATGAAACCAAACTAGAATAATTTGGTCACATGTCCTCTCTTTATGTATGGGGGAAAGTGAATGAAGCTCAGCAACCAAAACATAGCGTCTCTGCAAATAAGTATCGTGGTGGGAGCAATTCTGATCTGGAGATATTTTGCTGCTTCTGGACCAGGAGAACTAGGGAAAGTACAGGATATCATAGATAAAGAGAAGTATTTGGTTATTCTTCAAAATAATATAAAGCAAATTGGATGAAAGCTGTAATTGGGGTGTCACTGGATATTTTAACATAACAATGACTTGAAACACACTGCACGAATTATTACAAAATACTTAGATGACAGCCAAATTTAGGTACTGGCATTGGTATTGGCGTACTCACTGACCTAAATTCCATTAAAAATCTATGGGCATATTTGAAGAAAAAAGTAAGAGAAAGAAGTCCATCGAATTTGAAGGAACTAGAAGCTATTGCCAAGGAAGAATGGAGCAAAATACTTATCTGTGTGAGTAGTGATCTTGTAAGGAACTATCAAAAACGATTAAATGTAATAATCAATAATAAAGGTTACTCAATTGATTATTGAGGCAAGAGGGCCAATAATAAGGTCTTATGCTTTTTAGTATTTTTGGGGGGATTATAGTTTGACACTAAAATAAAAAATTTGGATAAAGAGTAGTATCTCGCTCTTCTTAAAAATAATATAAAACAATGCGCACGAAAACTGTCTTTGAGGTGTCACTGGACGTTCCAACATGACAACAATCCAAAACACAGGGTACGAAATGTTAAAAAATATTTAGATGATAGCAAAATTTAGGTGTTGAGGTACCCCTCACAAAGACGTGACTTAAACTCCATTGAAAATCTATGAGTATATTTGAGGAAAAATGTAGGAAAATGAGGTCCTTCGAATTTGAAGGAACTAGAAGCTATTGCCAGGGAAGAGTGGAGCAAAATACTTATCAGTGTGTGGAGTGATCTTGTAAAGAACTATCAAAAACGATTAAATGTAATAATCAAGAATAAAGGTTACACAATTGATTATTGAGGCAAGAGGGCCAATAATTTTGTTCTATATTTAATCTTTTTTTGCTTATTTTTGCATTATTGTTTGACATTAAAATAACAATTTTGCTGTGGGCACCATTGCACATTCTTTCAAATACATCATTTCCTCATTTGTGATAAAACATGAAGTTTCCATAAAAATTTGAGGTATTTATTATCATGGAAGTTGAGGTGAATAATTGACTCCACAACCCCCCCCCTCTTTCTCTCTCTCTCTCTCTCTATATATATATATATATATATATATATATATATATATATATATATATATATATATATATTAATGTATATTTGGGCAGCAAACCTTTCTTTTAAACATCTTCCATTAAATTTGACAGACAAGGAAAATTTAATGCCAGTCGCGCCCAACATGCGAAGGCTCGGAATAAACGCTCTTACTAGTCTTTAGCAAAAAAAATCATCTGAAATAGACAAAGCAAGAAGAGAAATTAACAACATTTAAACCAACACCACCCAACTTCTTGAAAATGGCTAAAGAAGTGACCGAAAGCGCTTGGGACAATGGACTATTTTTACACTCCCTTATTCACGCTAAGCGAAAACAAAATTTAAGAACGATGGAAGAACTAAATAAAAAAATGACAATTTTCCTTTCTCTCATATTCAACGATGTGGCCAAATGCAGTTTACCTTTCAACATAGCCCCCTTGCAGTC